ATTTGTCACTCTAAACTACACAAAAACCTGGTTGCGCCTACATACTAAATAATGGCCAATCCATAAAAATAATACTTCTCTCAAAATAAATTTGTAGACATTTGATGATCAATGTATTTCTACAGTGTACAGAAGTGTGCTGTAGTTTTAATTAAAGTGTACTGGAGTTTCGGACTGAACCGAACTGAAAACTGGTGGTTAAAAATGTCTCCAGTTACTGTCATAACCTCAGTTCCCTGAGAGCAGGAACGAGACCTTGTGAAGCATTCGCAGTGGGAACTCCTCCCCTTCTCTAGAAATCCTGAAACTTTATAGGATAATGCCAGTTCAATAAACTGGCCAATTGTTGCTAATCTATGCAAATCGCATGTAAATACTGACAAGCCTGTGGGCAGTATAAAATGCATTGAGAGTGACAATTGCCTCAGAATCTAAGACTGAACGCTGCAGAACTGATCAAGCAGCGAGCACGGCTATCTTCGCAATATCTTGTTGCTGCTCTCAGGGAACTGAGGTTCGACAGTAACCGGAGACGTTCCCTTTCAAGCATTCACTCTACATTGCAAAGCATTACATTGCGCAGTGGAAACCATATACAATCCCGCTGTGAGAGCGGTGAAGATCAGCCCGAACTAAAGGCTAAGACCACACCAATCATGGGATAGAACAACACACAATTCCAAACCAATAGCAATGCCGTTAGGGAACCCTGCAGCTGATAGGCATAGCTAGACCAATGAACATCTTAACTCAGGTATACCAAATTAGGACATCTGGCCAGAATAAACGAGCGGCTGCACTGAATACAGGGCAGACACAACCATAGCAAGGTAGCGCCGTGCAAAGTAACAAAGCACATATAAAAATGTACACAGTGTCAACAGCTATACGCAGTAACAAACTGTGCCCCAATTGCATGCATTGCAATAAGATGAGTGAGAAAGATAAGTGAGGTTAGTGATTTACCGAAAGAATTTGAGACGCCAAGGATGGCACATCCAACTTGTAAAACCTGGCAAAAGTATTCTGTGAAGACCAGCCAGCTGCAGGGCATACATCCCAAATAGACCAGGCCCATGAAGAGGTGATAGCCCTCATCGTATGGGCTCTGATGTTGAGAGGGCATTCTTGTCCCTGGCTCGCATAAGCTGAGACGATAGCATCTACTATCCAGTGAGAAAGCCTCTGCTTAGAAACTGTTTGTCCCTTAGAATGGCCACTGAAGCACATGAAGAGCTGGTCAGACTGTCGAAAGATGGCAGAGCGGTCCATATAAATCCTTAAGGCCCTAACCGGGCAAACAGCGTTCCGAGCCTTGGCGTCATGCGAAGTCGAAAGACAAAGCAGGCAAAGAAATGACCTGCGCTTTAAAAGGGGTGGAGAGAGATTTAAGCACATAGCCCGGTCTGGGCTGGAGAGTAACACTGCAGTCTCCAGGCCTAAAATGAACACAATAGTCGCCCATCGAGAGCGCATGGAAACCTCCTATGTGCTTAGCCGAGGCAAAGGCGAGAAGCAGAGCAGTTTTGAGGGAGAGCTCCCACATAGCGATAGATTCCAAGGGCTTGAACGGGTGAAGAGAGAGAGCTTTTAGAACCAGCGCTAGGTCCCACGGTGGCACCAAAGGTGGGCGTGGGGGATGTAATCTCCTTGCTTCCCTGAGAAATCTGACCACCAGCGTGTGCTTCCCGATTGTTTGCATGTCAACCGGGGAGTGAAACGAAGCAATAGTGGCCACATACGCCTTTAGCGTCGACGGTAGACTCCCTCTATCCAGCCTGTGCTGCAGAAAATGTAGAACATCCGACACGGGGCAGCTCACTGGGTCGATGTCTCTTATCACAGCACCATTTCACAAACACTCCCCATTTAAGTGTGTACAGACGCTTAGTAGAATGTGCACAACACTCAGTGAGTGTGTCAAGCACACGGGGAGGCAGGGCACTTGGCTCCTCTAGGACCTCTGAAGCAGCCACACATGAAGGCTCCACAGCTCCGGGCTGGGGTGCCATATCGAGCCGTTCGCTTGAGACAACAGGTCCTTCCTGAGGGGGATTCACCAAGGGGGGGACACCAGTATCTAAAGCCAGCCCGATAGGAAGCACTGAGTACTGGGGTATGCTGTGCCCTCGAAAGCAAACCTCAGGAAGCGTCTGTGTTGCGGAGCTATCTGGCTATAAAAGCATGCATCTTTCAGATCTACGAATGCAAAACAGTCCCTGGGATAGATTTGTGCCAGGATCTGCTTCAGTGTTGTCATCCAGAACGCACACTTACATGGGTCCCCCATCTCTCTTGGGTACCACAAAATAGCAAGCAGGCTGTGAACTTCCTGTCTCAAAACAGAGGCATTTTGAGGCAGTGTCAGTGACAGAACCATGCCATTGAAACTGGGTGGTCTGCGTCTGAACTGGAGAGAATACCCACGCTCTATTATGTCCAGCACCCAGTGCGAAATCCTTGGAATAACTGTCCATGCATCTAGGAACTGACATTGCAGCCAAATGCCTCCAGTCGCTATTGCTAGCAACGAAGTTCATAGACTGACGCCTTGCCCCAATGAGGCTAAACATGCTGGCAGGGAAACCGCTTGTGGAAGACAACACTGGGTGGCCATAACAGGCACAGACAGCGGCTCCCGCTGCTCGGAGGCAGGGCAAGCGATGCAGTATCTATAGAATGAGGAGTAAACAGCTCTTTTTGTGAGGGTGTTTGTGTTTTTATTGAGCAAACAGAAACAAGAACATTGCATTTATCTCCTACAGGAACAAAGGGCGCATTATGCAGAACATGGCACTTGGGGGCCAGGCCTCCAGCAAGCTTTCTCCTCCTCTTGACCGGACCATCAGGACGAACATCCGACTCAGGACAGGGCAATCGAGGAGGGTGTGGCAGGCTGTTCAGTCGCTCTCTGTGCAGAACGGGGTGTTGATGAGGAGCATGATCTTGAATGCTGCTGGACCACATGTCATAGCATTAGATGACTTATCGCCTTTACGTGCTTTTGAGCCTCAGAGAAACACTCGATCACTGACTCCACGGTGTCACCAAAGAGGCAGGAGGGTGTAATTGGCGTGTTGAGGGGGGTCTTACAGTCAGAGTCCTTCAGGTCAGCTAGGGTTAACCATAGGTGCCTGTGAAGGACCACCATAAAGCCCATGGATCGACCAATGGCCTGCGCTTAGGTGCCATCAGCGCAAAGTCCGTCACTGTACACAGGTCTTTCAATGCTTAAGTGGTGACATTGCCTCCATACATGGATAGCAGGAGGTTGGCTTGGAAAACCTGCAGCAACGCCATAGCTTGTAGCAGGGATGCCACCTCACCAGCGGAAGTGTAGGCCTTGTCAGCCAGGTTGGCATTCAGCCTACAGGGCCTGGACGGGGGGCTGAGGGCCATGCCCAGCATGGCGGAAGAAGGACATAAATGCATGGCGGCGGTCTCCTTGACGGGGGGCATGCACGTGTATCCATGGGCTTCCGCCCCATCCATGTGGGAGAAGGGAGACTGCGTGGGAGTGTGGACGCGGGCCAATTGGGATGCATGTGCTCATGGACATCCGAGAAGAATGGTAACTTCCTCCTCGAAGCGGCCTGGCAGCGGCCCGACTACAATTGCCAGAAGACAAGTTTACTCCTGGCAGATTCCTGTGGAGCATCCCAGTTAAGGTCAAGTTCCTTAATTAACCACCTTAGCAAGAACCCTGGTGAGCTCATCATGGAGATCAGCAAGGCCATCGGTGTCAGGGCGATCCAGCTCCGACTCTGCCCAGACCTTCTTTGAAGCCGAGATGAACATGGAGTCCTCTTCCTCATCAGTGCAGAAGGAGATGAAGTCCGCTAGGGCATGAGGTGGGCGAAAACACTCATCAGAGAAGAGGACTGGGAGAATGGGGTGTTGGCAGAGAACAACGGCCCGGGGCAGAGTTGTCACCTCTGTGCCGAGGAAAGGGAAGGCCCACCAGTGGCACACAGACGGCAGTGGGCCTCGTCCCCATCAGGCCATGAGCAATATCCCTCCAAGCTCGTAAGACACAAACCAGCAGGTCCATGCAGTAGACACAGCCCGAGTCTGTAAAGGCAGCCTCAGCGTGGCCCAGGCAGGCGATGCAGTGCTCATGTGTGTTCGGCAGGCTGATGGGGCCCACGCAGATCCTACAGAAAGTAGCCATCGAATGCTGAAGAGATGATCGTTTCTTCGATTGCGTCTTCGAAGATGGCAGCAGCTGAGACAATTGCCGCTCTCGCTGCATTTTATACTCCCCGCAAGCTTGTCAGTATTTGCATGCGATTCGCATAGATTAGCGACATTTGGCCAGTTTATTGAACTGGCGTTATCCTATAAGGTTTTGGGATTTCGGAGAAAGGGAGGAATTCCTATTGTGAATGCTCCGCAATGTAGAGTGAATGCTCGAAAGGGAACCAAGGTATATATAGATCCGTGGGTGAACTGTATTGTTGCATACTGTGCAGACCTGCTAACCTTTGGAAAATATTTAACATACTCAAAAAACTCAAAAATATTTCCAAGGTTGGCAGGTCTGTTATTGCTATTGATAACCCCGGTAACTCTTATATGCTAAGGGGTGTGATGTAACAATCCTTGCATGGCTATAACTCCACCCACAGGAATTACATTGCTAATGCATAACCAACAATGTATCCGCTTAATAAAGCAGTCCAAATAATTTAGACAATTTTACTGCTCAACAGGTTTTAAGGAGCTGGACATTTCTGCTTTTGCCCCCTAGACTTCCTTTAAAAGTACAATACTATAAATGTGTGTGTGTGTGTGTGTTTTTGTTTTGTTTGTTTTTGTAGCCGAGGAATGTTGTTTTTTTTCTGTGGTAATCAACATCATGTCACAGAGGATCTTAAGCTGTATTTAATGTAGGGTATTCCTCTAAAACTATTTCAAACTAATGCATAAAATATTACCCACAAATTAGTGATGTATGTTAATACATAAGATAATTACATCATTGTTTTCTGTCTTTGCAGTTGAACATCCTGGTTGATACTGGAAGCAGCAATTTTGCTGTAGCTACAGCAGCACATCCCTTCATCATACACTACTATAACAGAGCAGTGTAAGATCACATCCCTACATCCCACACTACTTAATCAGAGCACTGTAAGATCGCATCCCTACATCACACACACTACTATGACAGAGCACTGTTAGATCACATCCATACATCACATACTACTTTAACAGAGCACTGCAAGATCACATCCCTGCATCACACACTACTTCATCAGAGCACTGTAAGATCACATCCCTACATCACAGACTACTAAAACAGAGCACTGTTAGATCACATCCCTACATCAAACACACTACTATAACAGAGCACTGTGAGATCACATCCCTACATCACACACTACTTCATCAGAGCACTCGTAGATCACATCCCTACATCACTCACAACTTTAACAGAGCACTGTTAGATCACATCCCTACATCACTCACTACTTTAACAGAGCACTGTACGATCACATCCCTACATCACACACTACTGTAACAGAGCATTGTAAGATAAAATCCTTAAATCCCACCAGTATAACAGAGCATTGTAAGATCACATCCCTTCATCACATTCTACTACAACAGAGCACTGTAACATCAAAACACACCTTACCACTAAATCACTTTCTTTTATAACAGAACATCCAGACAAAACTTCTACATTCATTATATTCCAGTCTTTTAATGTGTGTCAGTGAGTGATGTTAGTAAGTTCAGCAGTGCATCAGTGATGAATCAATGTCATGATGGTTTGCTCAGTTCCAGTACATATCAGAGCTCCGGGAGGGGAGTTGCAGTAAAATACGCACAGGGAGAATGGGAAGGGGAACTGGGAAGTGACTGGATCACCATTCCTCAAGGGCCCAGTGGTACCATCACCATCAACATAGCCGCAATCATCTCCTCAGAAGGCTTCTTTCTGCCTGGAATCAACTGGCAGGGAATTCTTGGACTTGCATATCCTTTACTGGCTCGGGTAAGTCACATGAAGATGTGTTACATTGGTGTTTTATTGAGAAAAGATGTGTTGGTGGGTGCTACTGTTTGATTTAGCTCAGCTATGGTTGTCACGTTAAATTATGTTGTCACAAAGGTGTGGCTCAGATCCTCAAACATCAGTGGTATATTTGCTATTATCTTCAAACATCAATGTATATTTGCCATTATTAAGAGCCATGTTTCAGAAAGTAATGGATAATAATTGTAAATATTTGTTTTGTTAAATGGCATGACAAAAAAGCACCAAAAAGTACGAGGATAGTAACAATTTTTTGGACATGTAAAGGTACGTTGATATTCTTTGAAGGACCATGTACTATTGTAAATGATTATGGTAATTATTCAGTGCCATGGTTTATTTCTAATGTACTACTGTACCATAGTATCAAACTTATTTATTTCTTTGTTTATTTTTTAACATGAATGGGAGGATATTTTTCCTTACCATCTGTTCCTTGTCTTTTATTTTTTCTAAATACTCAATAAAAATATTGATTTGTACTGTTTAGGCATTAGTATTACATGTGCATCTCAATAAATTAGAATGTCGTGGAAAAGTTCATTTATTTCAGTAATTCAACTCAAATTGTGAAACTCGTGTATTAAATAAATTCAATGCACACAGACTGAAGTAGTTTAAGTCTTTGGTTCTTTTAATTGTGATGATTTTGGCTCACATTTAACAAAAACCCACCAATTCACTATCTCAACAAATTAGAATATGGTGACATGCCAATCAGCTAATCAACTCAAAACACCTGCAAATGTTTCCTGAGCCTTCAAAATGGTCTCTCAGTTTGGTTCACTAGGCTACACAATCATGGGGAAGACTGCTGATCTGACAGTTGTCCAGAAGACAATCACTGACACCCTTCACAAGGAGGGTAAGCAACAAACATTAATTGCCAAAGAAGCTTCCTGTTCACAGAGTGCTGTATCCAAGCATGTTAACAGAAAGTTGAGTGGAGGAAAAAGTGTGGAAGAAAAAGATGCACAACCAACTGAGAGAACAGCAGCCTTATGAGGATTGTCAAGCAAAATCGATTCAAGAATTTGAGTGAACTTCACAAGGAATGGACTGAGGCTGGGGTCAAGGCATCAAGAGCCACCACACACAGACGTGTCAAGGAATTTGGCTACAGTTGTCGTATTCCTCTTGTTAAGCCACTCCTGAACCACAGACAATGTCAGAGGCGTCTTACCTGGGCTAAGGAGAAGAAGAACTGGACTGTTGCCAATTGGTCCAAAGTCCTCTTTTCAGTTGAGATCAAGTTTTGTATTTCATTTGGAAACCAAAGGTCCTAGAGTCTGGAGGAAGGGTGGAGAAGCTCATAGCCCAAGTTTCTTGAAGTCCAGTGTTAAGTTTCCACAGTCTGTGATGATTTGGGGTGCAATGTCATCTGCTGGTGTTGGTCCATTGTGTTTTTTGAAAACCAACGTCACTGCACCCGTTTACCAAGACATTTTGGAGCACTTCATGCTTCCTTCTGCTGACCAGCTTTTTGAAGATGCTGATTTCATTTTCCAGCAGGATTTGGCATGTGCCCACATTGCCATATAAACATACTTTCCAGAATGCCAACAATTACTAAAAAAATTTTTTATTGGTCTTATGAAGTATTCTAATTTGTTGAGATAGTGAATTGGTGGGTTTTTGTTAAATGAGAGCCAAAATCATCACAGTTAAAAGAACCATTTTGATTTGAATTACTGAAATAAATTTACTTTTCCGTGACATTCTAATTTATTGAGATGCACCTGTATATTATTTGAAAATAAGTATTTAAAAATTTGTTTCAATTTCCATAGGATGAATTTTGTATTTTTCTTCTCTTAGCCTGACCCATCAGTGGAGCCCTTCTTCAACTCTGTTGTGAGACAGACCAGCATTCTAGATGTGTTGTCTCTCCAGATGTGTGGAGCAGGAGTCTCTGCCAGCACTACAGCTGACCCGACGAGCGGCAGTCTGGTGTGCACCAAACCAGAACTAGTTTTGCACCGAACTACAAAAATATACAATCCAAATTATTTACAAATTAATCCAACTAACTGCTATAGTGTGTACACCAATTTGATCATGTTAATATGAAAAAACTATTAATGTATTATATACAGGACCGCTTAGACCTCAGACATAAGTAGGTAATATGTTTCATGTCAGATGTTTAAAGAAAGTTATCAAATGTTGTTTATAATCATTTGTCAAGATTAGTGTCAAAATTAAGTATCTGTATTAATATTTATTAATTCAGTCACAAAAACATTATATTTGAAAAATCTATTAAAATCATTGTATCTATATAAAAAAAGTTAATGTCTTTGTTTTTGTTCAGTTACATAAAAAAAATCCAAAAAACTTCTATGGCAAGAACAATTTTAGTTTTACCAAGCACAGATTTTTTAAGTTTTACCAAACTTAATTTTCTCTTTCTTTATTAGCATATTTTACTGTAGGCATATTTCAAAATTAGCTAAACAATAGAAGATAACTTATTATTATATTATTTGATTATATTAATACTCTTATTATATTATTTATTCTTGTTATGTTATTTGAGTTATGCATCAATGTTTTTAAAATTTAAATTACAGAAATTATTCAATGCATCTTATTCTGGTCAAGAACTACATAAAGAGACTGTCTGAAAAAGTAATGTGAACAAAGAGTTTGTTTACATGGTGATTAGGTGGAGGTTTATTAGAAATAGATTATCATTATAGAGGGCTCCACAATATTAGACTGAATAAATGTATTCAAACAATGATGCAACAGATTGACAGAAAACAGAGACACCATAGTGAACAATGTGTAGAATTTTTAATCAATTAATAGTTCTTCCTGGAAAGCACTGGACCCAATTTACAGCTTGTCCACTTTTCAATGACACACACACCTATCTATCTATCTATCATCTATCTATCTATTAGTGTGTGTGTATATATATATATATATATATATATAGTAATTGTAGGATCTGTTTCAGTTCTTAAATTGATTTTAAAAAGAAAGCTCTGGTTAGACAAGGTATATATAAGCGGTTATTGTCTATAATTTGAATCAAAGTGGACCAGACTTTGGTCCTATAGTCTACTAAATCTGTGACCCTGATCAAAATTGGCCCCTTGTGAAACATTTGAGACTGGGATCTCATGTTATTAACAGGTAAACTGGAGTTTAACCATATGAGTTGGTGCTGTAGGTAGCATTCAGGCTTCCTGCTTTCATAAATCAGATCAGTTAACACCTCTCAAGGACAGATGAGATTGGGTTTCTCAGCACTACTCAAGAAACATAATAGCTCAGTGCATCTCTCACACCTCCGCTGCCTCCTATAGGACAGCGTGTCTCGTTAGTGAGAAGCTAATTAAGCTAAAGAGAGCCCCCTGCTGCTGGCACATTCTGTTAGCAATATGGGAGCGCTGGAAGAAGAGGTGGTCATGTGTCCCACAGAGAGGAGCAGATGGGAAGCACGGTGGGGAGGGGTGTGTTCTGTGTCCATCGCTGAACAACGTCCAAAGCCTTTTGGAAATATTTGACTAACCTCTTAATTGGATGCTATTTGCAGAAGTCAAAGCGACAGATCTGAGTCCATTTTATTTTTGTTTTATCTTCGTTTTGAATGTATTTTGAGAATAATTTTTTGCTTTATCTGATATCCTTAAATATAAGGATAAATAGGTAGATCAGCCATGGTGTTGTTAGTTACAAAAGATAACCTGCTAATTCAGATTACACCAGTTCTGTCAGATATGAGGTTCTTATTTTTCTGTCAAAATAGTTTTCCCTCTGTAAATTGTTTATTTAATAATATAATAATTAAATGTTAAATTTTTATTTTATTTTTATACAGAGACACTTTTTACTGTCAATTAGGAAGGCAATAAACTTAAACAGATAAATGAACACTAAATACAAATAATAAATATAGAAAACACCCTTAATTTGTATAAAACAGTAATAAACGGTAGAATTTAAGTAAACATAAAAAAATAAAAAAAAAATAAAAAATAAATTAAATAAATAAAAAAGGGGAAATCCTGTTCAGGGACTTTACCTAAGAGTGAAATGGATATATTAAAGCAAGACACTACAGGAAAACAAAACAAAACATTGGTATCTGGTCAGTTTTGAGATTTTGGGCTATTTTGCTTCCATAGTGAAAATAAAAAATAAGTGTTTTTTTCCTGCTGTTATCCAAATATTGAAAAATACCCTATGTAAAAAACTTTAAAGGGATAGTTCACCCAAAAATTTGAATTCTGTCATTAATTACCCTCATGTCATTCCAAACCCGTAAGAGCTTCGTTCATCTTCGGAACACAAATTAAGATATGTTTTATTAAATCAGAGAGCGGATCCGCCCTCAAATCGGCAGAATATGCCCCGCCTCCGGACAGCGCACTGTCAGTTAGCGGACTCATTACGGACACGGCACGGATTAGCGATTCGAACGCGCTTTTTTTTTTTTTTTTACCGGTGCCGTCTCAGAAATCCTCCTCAGACTGGAAAAACTGCGGCCAGCCAGCTTGAAGAAGACTGAACTCGATAAGAATACTTTAAAAATATGCTTTATTTGTACAGTTGCCAGTAACATTAACGTTAATAAAGTTGTTAATTGCTTAGTTGTAGTTTTTAATTTTTGAAATTGCGTTGTGGAATGTTCAGTTAAGGTTAGCTCTTCAGCATTATTAGCATTATCATAGATTTGAGTATAATAATTATAATTTACGTTAATGATAGGCCTATTTGGATGGGATCTCCCTTCTTTCTGTGAGACCGATAGTTTAGTTGGCTATCAGGATTTTAATCGTATATGTAACGTTAGGTAATTTTTCACCCCTCTTCAGGAATAACTGCAGGTGAGAATAAACTTTTTGTTTCATTTAAATTTGGTTCTAGAATATTAGTTCAAGTCTATTTTTATTTATTTTTCGACAAATATATTCCCCACCTCTCCTCGTAATGTTGTTTTAGTACATATGAAATAAACTAGCGGGCTCATTACGGAGGCTGGGCGGATTCGCAATCCGAACACGCTTCTTTCTAACAGTCGAGTCTCTGAAATCAAATCCTCCTCAGAGTGCTGAAGCTGCGGCCGGCCAGTTTGAAGAGGACTGAACACGCCAAGAATACTGTTTAAATATGCTTTATATGTACAGTATGTACAGTTGCTAGTAACATTAAGGTTAATAAAGTAGTTAATTGCTTTGTTGGCATTTTTAATTGTGAAATTGCGTTGTGGAACGTTAGCTCTTCAGCACATTAGCATTGTAGATTTGAGTAATATCAGGCCTATTTAGACGGGATCTCCTTCTTTTTGTGAGACACGGTAGTCCTGAGCATGTAACGTTAGGTAATTTTTCACCCCTCTTCAGGATAACTGCAGGCGATATTATGCTATATTTTTCATTTAATTTTGGTTCTGGAATATTAGCTCAAGTCTATTTTTGTTTATATTTTGACAAATATATTCCTCACCTCTTGCAATGTTGTTTCAGATAATTTATATGAAATGAAAAAATACTAAGATACTGTGTGTGTGTGTGTGTGTGTGTTCTGTTGCAGCTTCACAGCTCATTCAAGTGCTCCAGTCTGGT